AAACCTTTACCATTCACTTACCTCAGTGAAATTCATAAAATAATATACGAAAGCAATAACATCATCATCATCATGAAAACATATATATGAACTGTATAACATAATACCTATCAAACTTTTCGTAATTCAATCGTTACACAATATATTTTCCTAATTTACCAGCCCACTAGTATCCATGGGGATCCATAGGGGTCTCGCTACCCGTTAATCCTTAACACTTGAAATCCATTCCAGGGCCGTCCCCATATCCCGTCCGGTATGGGCGCCAAACCATAGACCTCATTACCCCGTCCGGTATGAGGGTGAAACGGGCCGTCCCCATACCCCGTCCGGTATGGGCGCCAAAACACATAAGATCTCCATACCCCGTCCGATATGGGAGACCACAATCCTGGTAGGGTTCCCTACGGACCCGGTCCGTCCACCATCTCCCAGGATATCTAGTCAGGCTGACCACAGTATACAATTTCCATTTACATAATCTTTCATTCTCCTTTTTCCTCAGTCAGCATTATCAATCACATACAAACAAGCAAAACGATAATTTATGCCAAACAGACAACATACAGCATCAATATCCCGGTTATTCAATCCATAATCAATAAAACAGTAGAATGTGCACACAAAACTATAAAATGAAAACATCAAATCTCATACTGCATTTAAAACTGTAAACAGGCCAAATAACAGTTAACCGACAAACACACTAGACTCGGGCTCCATTAGCGACCTTAAGTAATTTCACACATTCGTTGATTCATGAAATACCGTTTTATCATTTATTGAACTTTAAAACCGTGATAGGAAATAGGGTGAGGGGTCCTTACTCGTTTCGGGGTCCGAACACGGCTTCACAGTGCGCTTGCAGGCTGTCCCTAATTTTCCCTGAATTTTTCTCGGGAAACTGAAACGCACTACTAGTACCTGCACGTGTTCCAAAAAATCCCAAATTAGGCCCAGGGCCCCTTTCGGCCAATATCGCAACTCCGGCACGGCGGCTCCGCCGTGCTCCGGCGACGGCGGCTCCGCCGTGCTCCGGCGACGGCGGCTCCGCCGTGCTCCGGCGACGGCGGCTCCGCCGTGCTCCGGCGACGGCGGTTTGCCTCGGGTTGGCCGTTTTCGGCCACACTCGCATTGGTTCCTGCGATAAAACAACCCTACGGCCCTCGGAGGGCCGAAAATTTACAGAAAACCGAAGCTTACCGGCAGCGGTGCTCTCGGGTGCGGCGGCTCTCCGGTGAAGTTCGTGTTTTGGTGATTCGGCTCTAATCAACCTGTAGAGAAAAGAATGGTGATCACGGTGATATAAAAATTGCATTAAACGGAGGCCGGGAAGGGCCTCATCGGAGGCAAAAATCGAGAAGGGGCGCGGCGGCGCCGCTGGCTTTCGGCCGTTTGGCCAGGATTTTGGCTCCGATTTGGCAACTGGGGAAATCAACGTGGAAAAACGAGTCGGGGGTATGAAATTTACCTCGATTGGCGGTCGGAAATCCCTCCGGTGCGGCGGCGGGTGGTGGCGGCCGGCTTCTGGTTCGTCTTCTTCGGCGAGGGCAGGCGGCTAGGGTTTGGGGTCTGGTGTGGGGGTCTTATTTATACCATTTTGCCTTTTGATCTCAGCCGTCCATTTTGTTTTAATATGGGTCGTCCGTTTTTGATTAAATCTGGGCCGTCCGTGCGCGCGATTGATCTGGGCCGTCCGATCGCGCGCACGCGGATCACCAACGTGGCCCGTCCCCGGTCGACGTGGTTTTGCCACGTGGCAGGTCCTGGTTGGCCAGACCTGCTGACTGGGTCTGCTGACGTGGCACAAGCGTTTTTTTTTCTTTCTTCAATTTTCCGCGGGCGCTACAAATACCGGACGGCGTATTGAGGGATTATATTTTTGGGCCTCATACCGAATAAGGTATGAGGACGATCCGTTTCACTCTCCTACCAGATAAAGTATTGAGATATGATATTTTGATACTCATACCGGATGGGGTACGGGGACGAACGGTTAGTTGACAATGTTGAATAAGAGTTCACGCGTAGTAGGGACATCCCTATGAACCTCCATGGATACTAGTTGGCAGATAAAAAAGGAAAATTATTGTTCTGACTAATTATAAATAAAATTATGATATTGTTTGTGTTATTATCGCTATAGGTCGGTTTTGGAAATCTCATTATGGTAAGTGTGTAATAAATAATTTTATTTATGATAAATGAATTTACATAAATTAAGAGTTGTATTAGTTATTTTTATAATTTTTATTAGTGTTCATTTTTATATCGGTGAGTAGCATGACATTCTTAATGGGGTAGTATAGCTCACTTTTTCATTAACCATTTCAGATCAAGAATACCAATATCCAGATCCCGATTCATAAGAGGGTTGTGAATAGGATGCCCAGTTGTTTACTTTCTATTTATGTATTTGATTTTTTATTTTTTTTAAATATCATTCTCGTAGCCTTATTGAGTATTTTGAATTGTTGTGTAAGGAATATAAACACTAACTTTATTATTTCGCTTCCGCATTCAGATTATAATTTATTTTCTTTTAGGTTTTGGGCCGTTACAATATGTATGGGTAATATTTTTTTAAATACAAATTTATATATTTATTAATCATAATACAAATCTCAAAAAGTAAGCCATGCATAAGAACATATTTCAATTTCAATTTATAATTTGTATAAAAGTTAAGCATATTAATCATTTAGTTACACGGTGATTAGTGAATAATATTAGATGATTATAATTTTTTAAAAATCAAATTGAATTAAAATAGTTGAGTAAAACAACGAATTGAGTTTAATTATATATTTTAAATTAATTTTATATAATTATTTTGAAGTATGGGTCAACTAATTGTAATTATATCTCACATGGCAAAAAAAAAAAAAAAGTTTGAATAATTCAATCACATATTATACATTTACATATATTTTTTACACGATATGTTGTATATTATATTTCAGTCGGAACGTATAATTATATTTTTTTTATTAGTGGGTGTCAATATATAATACTTATTAGATAAAAATATGCAGCTTAATATGAATAGTTACGAAGTCGGTTTTAATTAACCGGAATCTTTTAAAATTATAAACATTAATGGAGTTGATAAGCAAAGCGTTAACAGAGTTTATAATGTTTAAATTTGAGAAATTTTTTCCTCCTTTTTGAAATCTAAACCCAGAAGCCACTGGTGCCATGCTCTAAATCCAATCAAGTTTTTAATTATTTAATTTGTTGTTTAATTTAATGAAAGAGAAAGATTTGATTTAATTAATATAATTCAAATTTACAAAATATTTATTTTGTCAACAATATTAAAATTTAATTTATTACATAATGTAAAAATTTTAACGACTAAATGAGATTTGGAATGACGTAAAAAAGAAAAGAGAGGAGAAAAAAGAAAAAAAAATTAAAAAGGCTAAAAAGGAAGGAGAAATTCCAGAAAAAAGATAAAAAGCAGAAGCTGATGGATGGGGTTGTGGGGTCCACGGCCGATGAAGCAGATGGGGTTGACGAAACGCGTGAAATATGGGGAGCTGCCGAATAGTCTCCTTCCTTGTTTCTTCTTTTCTCCCCGGCCTGCACTATTCTGTCAAATCTGTCTCTATATAGATTATATTTTTATTCAATTTTAATTTTATTAAAAATACAGGTGAATAATTATATATATTTTTTCAAAATTAATATCTTACCTTTAAATATATCATATAACGTATTTGTATTTGAACTAATTCATAATTAAGAAAAAACTAAAATAAGTTTTCTCACTTATATATTTAATAAAATGATTTTTAAACAAAATTTGTTTATTTATTTATTTATTAAAATAAGTAAAGTCTGAATGTATTATAAACACAATCAACTTACTATTTATATTAATTCACAAAGGGAATCTAATCTAGCGGATATGGAGGTGAGACTTTGGGTATATTTTAGATTGGGAAGCAACCTCAGTGATTTGACTTTTATACCCTCGTCCATGTGCTGTTTTTTTTTTTATACCATTATATATGGCGCGTAATCAGCTTTATTTGTTGAATGAAGAAATATATATATATATATTTTTAAATAAATCCTCGTGTTTATTTTATTGATTGATATTTTTTAATTATTTTAATCAAATTAATTGGTACCATCTGAGTAAAATTTTATTCTCATAAGACAAAAACAATAATAATAATAATAATAATAAATTTGCAAATTAAAATATCATTATTTTAAGAATTTAATGGCTGCTACTGATTCAAAAGGCGAGGCCAAGTTTCAAATGCTTTATTTGTTTGTTCTGTTATCGCTAAAGACAAAATTACCGAGATAAATAATTCCTTATTTGGTATTATATACGGACTTCCCTTGTGTATGATCTCAAAAAGTTTATATTAACAAAAATGATACTTGGAAAAAAAAAAAACGTTATTCTAAATATACTAATTTTCGGAAATTGCATCATTTATTTTTTTTGATCATAAATAAGTGACAAATTATAAAAACATATTCAGATTTATGTTATTCTAATTCAAGTGTAATTGCATTTTGGAATTATATAAAAATATTACTTATTTTATTTATATTTAAAATTTATTTTTTAGAAATAGCTCTTTTACAATTTAGTTTCAAATTTATTTTTAATCTAATTAAATTTTTAAAAATTTATTATTGTCATTATTATTATTATTATTATTTTGTGAACCAAAATTCATATTTAACTCAAATTTTTTGATTTTATCATTTTCGTCAAAATCCAAACTTTGCCCTTTTTGAATTAAAAAATTAAGGCTCAAACAAATTTGACCCAGCTCATTTAAAACCCAACGGGAACCCTTTAACCAACTTCATCCTTCATTTGTGGCCCAGGAAACCTAAAATCTCAAGAAACCAGAAAGCCCAGAAGACTCGGACTTGGCCCAGTCCCAAAAATCCCAGCCTCTTCATCAAACGCGAAACGATGTCGTCTATATCAAACTTCCTTCTTCTTTCTGTTGAACAAGAGCAGGTTTAGGGTCGGGTAGAATCAAAAGAAAGGAAACTGGGACCGGGACTGGGACTGGGACTGGGCAAAGAAGAGAAGGGAGAGGCGAAGAGAGCAAGGAAAAGGGGACACAAGGGGTTTGAGAGTGTAAGAAGAGTGAATCCGAGAGAGCAAAGGGAGTTCGCGGAACTGGAGAAAAAAAAAAAAAAGAAAAAGAAGGGTAAGCAAGAGCACACGTGTTCTTCGTTAATATGTGTCAATGTCGGTTTTTACCAAGACGATGCCGTTTCTCCTCTGTCTTTTGATTTTTCAATCGCTATGAGAACCATATAATACATCTTTATTGACAACTAGGCTTTCGTTTTACAGAAATCTAAATCTCTGGAAACAGATCAAGGACAAGTGGTAGCTAGTGAGCAATACAGAAGAAGCAGAGGAGGCAGCACTTTAAGTAATTCCTAGCCTATTGTATATTTTCATTTCATTATTTTGTCCAGTTCGTTGAGGAAAAAACAGGGTTTATATTGTTTGTTTAAAACCCTAGACTGTAGAGCAGAGGTTTATATTTTCCGTTAAATGATATTAATATCGATAGTTAGACTTACCGTCGTTTCTCCTCTGATTTAGGTTTTGCTGTTGATTGACTTTGAAACCTGATAATGGCTCACCTGGGTGGTGGTGCGGAGGCACACGCCCGATTCAAGCAGTACGAGTATAGGGCCAACTCTAGCCTGGTTCTCACTACCGATTCTCGCCCTCGTGACACCCATGAGCCCACCGGGGAGCCCGAGTCGCTCTGGGGCAAGATTGATCCTAAATCTTTTGGTGACCGGGCTTACAGAGGCAGGCCCCCCGAATTAGACGAGAAGCTCAAGAAATCAAAAAAGAAGAAGGACCGTGATCCCCAGGCAGAACCTGTTCTTACTCGACAAAGCAAGAGGCGCCGCCTCCGTGAAGAGAGTGTTCTTACAGCCAGTGATGAAGGCGTTTACCAGCCCAAGACAAAGGAAACCAGGGCTGCCTATGAGGCCATGCTTAGTCTTATTCAACAGCAGTTGGGCGGGCAGCCTCTCAATATTGTTAGTGGTGCTGCTGATGAGATTTTGGCTGTCCTTAAGAACGAGTCTGTTAAGAACCCGGACAAGAAGAAGGAGATTGAGAAGTTGTTGAACCCAATTCCTAATCAAATATTTGATCAGCTTGTTTCTGTTGGAAAGCTTATCACCGATTACCAAGATGGAGGTGATGCTTCTGGCACTTCTACAGCTAATGGTGACGACGCACTGGATGACGATGTGGGAGTAGCTGTTGAGTTTGAGGAGAATGAGGATGAGGAAGAGGAAAGTGATCTTGATATGGTCCAAGAGGATGAGGAAGAGGATGAAGATGTTGTCGAGCCTAATGGTTCTGGGGCAATGCAAATGGGTGGTGGGCTCGATGATGACGACACACGTGATGCCAATGAGGGCATGAGCCTTAATGTTCAGGACATTGATGCTTATTGGCTTCAGAGAAAGATTTCTCAAGCTTATGAACAACAAATTGACCCACAGCAGTGCCAGAAGCTTGCAGAAGAGGTGCTTAAAATACTAGCCGAGGGGGATGACAGAGAGGTTGAAACTAAACTTTTGGTGCATCTCCAGTTTGAAAAGTTCAGCCTCATTAAGTTCTTGTTGCGAAACCGGCTTAAGATTGTTTGGTGTACCCGTTTGGCTAGGGCAGAAGACCAGGAGGAAAGGAAGAAGATTGAAGAGGAAATGATGGGTTTGGGCCCAGACTTGGCAGCAATTTTGGAGCAATTGCATGCAACAAGAGCAACTGCAAAGGAGAGGCAAAAGAATTTGGAGAAGAGTATTAGAGAAGAGGCTCGTCGGCTGAAAGATGAGAGCAGTGGCGATGGGGATAGAGATAGAAGGGGTCTTGTTGACAGAGATGCAGAAAGTGGTTGGTTGAAAGGCCAACTTCAGTTGCTGGATCTGGACAGCCTGGCTTTTGAACAGGGCGGCCTTCTGATGGCAAATAAAAAATGTGATCTTCCCTTGGGTTCTTTTAGGCATCAGCGAAAGGGTTATGAAGAGGTTCATGTTCCGGCCTTAAAGCCAAAGCCATTAGACGCCAATGAGCGGCTTGTGAAGATATCTGACATGCCTGAGTGGGCACGACCAGCATTCAGTGGGATGCAACAGCTGAACAGGGTTCAGAGCAAAGTCTACAACACTGCTCTTTACACGGCTGATAACATTCTCCTCTGTGCTCCTACTGGCGCAGGGAAAACTAATGTTGCTGTACTAACCATTCTTCAGCAACTTGCATTTAATAGGAATCCAGATGGTACGTTTAATCACGGGAATTATAAGATTGTATATGTTGCCCCTATGAAAGCCCTTGTTGCCGAAGTTGTTGGTAATCTTTCTAACCGTTTGAAAGATTACCAAGTGAATGTGAAGGAGCTAAGTGGAGATCAGTCACTGAGTCGGCAAGAAATTGAAGAGACCCAAATAATTGTGACTACTCCTGAGAAGTGGGATATCATTACCAGAAAGTCTGGAGATCGCACATATACCCAGCTTGTGAAGCTTCTTATCATTGATGAGATTCATCTTCTTCATGATAATCGAGGGCCAGTCCTCGAAAGTATTGTTGCTAGAACTGTTAGGCAGATTGAAACTACAAAAGAGCATATTCGGTTAGTGGGTTTATCAGCTACTCTGCCTAACTATGAAGATGTGGCCTTGTTTTTACGGGTCGATGTCAAGAAAGGGCTGTTTTATTTTGACAATAGTTACAGACCTGTTCCTTTGTCTCAACAGTATATTGGGATTACAGTAAAGAAACCACTCCAGAGGTTCCAGTTGATGAATGATGTGTGTTATGAGAAGGTCATGGCAGTTGCAGGGAAGCATCAAGTCTTGATTTTTGTCCACTCAAGAAAGGAAACAGCCAAGACAGCACGTGCAATTCGAGATACTGCACTTGCTAATGATACTCTTAGTAGGTTCTTGAGGGAAGACAGTGCTAGCCGTGAGATTCTTCAAAGTCATACAGATATGGTCAAGAGTAATGATCTCAAAGATCTTCTGGCTTATGGTTTTGCAATTCATCATGCCGGTTTGACGAGGGGTGATCGCCAGCTTGTTGAGGATCTTTTTCGTTGATGGGACATGTGCAAGTGTTGGTATCCACTGCCACTCTTGCTTGGGGTGTAAATTTGCCTGCTCACTCTGTTATTATCAAGGGGACCCAGGTATACAGTCCAGAAAAAGGGGCGTGGACTGAGCTAAGTCCTCTTGATGTTATGCAGATGCTGGGTCGTGCAGGGAGGCCTCAGTATGATTCTTATGGTGAAGGAATAATAATCACTGGCCACGGTGAACTGCAGTACTATCTTTCTTTGATGAACCAGCAGCTTCCAATTGAAAGTCAGTTTGTCTCCAAACTTGCTGATCAGCTTAATGCAGAAATTGTCCTTGGAACAGTTCAAAATGCTAGGGAAGCCTGCAACTGGATTGGCTACACTTACTTGTATGTTCGTATGCTACGAAATCCTACACTCTATGGCTTAGCACCAGATGTTCTCACAAAGGATATTACGTTGGAGGAGAGGAGGGCTGATTTGGTAAGTGCACGATTTTAGTGGCAATAAATGCAAGTTCTTGTTCTGTTAGTGCATGTTAATAGTAGTTGGTAGGACTAAAAATATTTATGTTTGTCTTCTCGAGCTACTGGTGTTAGTTTGGGAGGAAGGATTGTGGAATATGTCTTTCTCGTTAACTCCAAGTCTGATTGCTCTATATTTAAACAACTGGGTGCCATGTCTGCACCTTTTGGTTGTATATTATTTCGTGAGTTATTTTGCATCATGTTTCATTTGCTGTAAGGTAAGGTGTTTTCTTGACTGTACCCATATGTATCTTGTCTACTTTTCGAAGTCATGAATCATTAATTTTTCTGTGAATCTGAATTCAGTGACTTTTGATTTTTTCCCCGTTGCTTGAATCTTGAAAGTTATATTGGCGATTTTGATGTCTATATTATTTGGCTTGTTCTTTGGCAGATTCACTCAGCTGCAACAATCTTGGACAAGAATAATTTGGTAAAGTATGATAGAAAAAGTGGATATTTCCAGGTGACAGATTTGGGTCGTATTGCTAGTTACTATTACATAACTCATGGGACGATATCCACGTATAATGAACATTTGAAGCCAACAATGGGTGACATAGAGCTTTGTCGATTGTTCTCTCTGAGTGAGGAGTTTAAATATGTGACAGTCAGACAAGATGAGAAGATGGAGCTGGCAAAACTTTTGGACCGTGTTCCCATTCCAATCAAGGAAAGCCTAGAGGAGCCTAGTGCAAAAATCAACGTTTTGCTGCAAGCATATATTTCACAGCTGAAGCTCGAAGGACTTTCTCTGACATCTGACATGGTGTACATAACTCAGGTTAGTTTTCAGTTGTACTTACTTTTTTTTTCCCCTCAAATTTTTATGTTTCTCTATCTTAGAGTTGTCTTTGTGACATCTAGATCTATATGTTTATGTCTCTCTTTTTGCTTTCTTTTGTTCTAGAGTGCGGGGCGTCTTCTACGAGCACTTTTTGAAATTGTCTTGAAACGAGGATGGGCACAATTGGCAGAGAAAGCTTTGAACTTGTGTAAAATGGTTACAAAGAGGATGTGGAGTGTCCAAACACCTCTTCGCCAGTTCAATGGAATCCCAAATGAAATTCTGATGAAATTGGAGAAGAAAGATTTGGCCTGGGATAGGTTTTATGATCTATCATCTCAGGAGATAGGGGAGCTTATTCGTTACCCAAAGATGGGCAGAACACTTCACAAGTTCATTCATCAATTCCCAAAACTAAACCTTGCGGCGCATGTTCAGCCAATAACTCGTACTGTTTTGAGGGTTGAACTGACAATAACACCAGATTGTCAATGGGATGACAAGGTTCATAGATATGTGGAGCCCTTTTGGGTACTAGTTGAGGATAATGATGGTGAATATATTCTTCATCATGAGTATTTTATGCTGAAAAAACAATATATTGATGAAGACCACACTTTGAATTTTACAGTGCCAATTTACGAACCTTTGCCACCCCAATATTTCATCCGGGTGGTGTCAGATAAGTGGCTTGGCTCACAAACTGTTCTACCTGTCTCATTTAGGCATCTGATTCTTCCGGAGAAGTATCCTCCACCAACAGAGTTGTTGGACTTGCAACCCCTTCCTGTGACTGCTTTAAGAAATCCGTCATATGAGGCTCTCTATCAAGACTTTAAGCATTTTAATCCTGTCCAGACTCAGGTCTTCACTGTTCTATACAATACAGATGACAATGTCCTAGTTGCTGCACCAACAGGCAGTGGGAAGACCATATGTGCGGAGTTTGCTATACTGAGGAATCATCAAAAAGGACCTGAATGTACTATGCGCATTGTGTATATTGCACCTCTTGAAGCCATTGCCAAGGAAAGGTATCGTGATTGGGAGAAGAAGTTTGGCAAGGGTCTTGGCATGCGAGTGGTGGAATTGACTGGGGAAACGTCAATGGATATGAAGCTGCTCGAGAGAAGTCAGATAATCATCGGCACTCCTGAGAAATGGGATGCTTTGTCCCGCAGGTGGAAACAGCGCAAGTATGTGCAGCAGGTTAGTCTTTTCATTATTGATGAACTTCATTTGCTTGGAGGTCAAGGTGGGCCTGTGTTGGAGGTGATTGTCTCTAGGATGAGATATATTGCAAGTCAGGTTGAGAACAAGATCCGTATTGTTGCTTTGTCTACTTCACTTGCAAATGCCAAGGATCTAGGTGAATGGATAGGGGCTACCTCTCATGGTCTTTTCAACTTCCCTCCTGGTGTTCGTCCTGTGCCACTTGAGATACACATTCAGGGAGTGGATATATCTAATTTTGAAGCAAGGATGCAAGCAATGACAAAACCAACATACACAGCAATTGTTCAGCATGCCAAGAATGAGAAGCCTGCTATTGTTTTCGTCCCTACGCGAAAACATGTCCGACTCACTGCAGTTGATCTAATGACATACTCAAGTGTTGACAGCCAGGAAAATCCAGCATTTCTGCTGCGATCTCCCGAGGAACTTGAGCCTTTCGTCAGCAGAATCAATGAGGAAATGTTGAGAGCTACTTTACGCCAGGGAGTGGGGTACTTACATGAGGGTTTAAGCAGTTTGGATCAAGAGGTGGTCTCGCAACTGTTTGAAGCTGGATGGATTCAGGTTTGTGTCATGAGCAGTTCGTTGTGTTGGGGAGTGCCATTGTCAGCACATTTGGTGGTTGTGATGGGAACACAATATTATGATGGGCGGGAAAATGCTCACACTGATTACCCTGTTACGGATTTATTGCAGATGATGGGACATGCTAGCCGACCTCTGCTTGATAACTCTGGGAAATGTGTCATCCTTTGCCATGCACCTCGAAAAGAATATTACAAGAAGTTCTTGTACGAAGCATTCCCTGTGGAAAGTCATTTTCACCATTTCTTACATGATAATTTTAATGCAGAAGTGGTTGCAGGAGTTATTGAGAACAAGCAAGATGCTGTGGATTATCTTACTTGGACTTTCATGTACAGGAGGCTCGCGCAGAACCCCAACTATTACAATCTCCAAGGAGTAAGTCACAGGCATCTCTCAGATCACCTTTCAGAGCTTGTTGAGAACACATTGAGTGATTTGGAAGCAAGTAAATGTGTAGCTATAGAAGAGGACATGGAACTATCTCCTCTGAATCTTGGCATGATAGCGTCATACTACTATATCAGTTATACCACTATTGAACGCTTCAGTTCTTTGTTGACTTCTAAAACAAAAATGAAGGGCCTTCTGGAGATTCTGACATCAGCTTCCGAGTATGCACAACTTCCTATTCGACCTGGAGAGGAGGATGTGGTTCGGAGGTTAATCAATCACCAGAGGTTTTCCTTTGAAAATCCTAAATGTACAGACCCTCATGTAAAGGCAAATGCGCTGCTGCAAGCTCACTTCTCAAGGCAAGCTGTGGGTGGTAATCTAGCATTGGATCAGAGAGAGGTTCTCATTTATGCTAGTAGACTGCTTCAAGCAATGGTTGATGTTATTTCAAGTAATGGTTGGCTGAGCCTTGCTCTCCTGGCAATGGAGGTGAGCCAAATGGTGACACAAGGCATGTGGGAGCGAGATTCCATGCTACTGCAGCTTCCTCACTTCACAAAGGAGTTGGCCAAGAAGTGCCAAGAGAATCCGGGTAAGAATATAGAGACAGTGTTTGATCTGGTGGAGATGGAAGATGATGAGCGCCGCGAACTCCTGCAGATGTCAGATAATCAGTTGCTGGATATTGCTAGGTTTTGCAATCGTTTTCCCAATATTGATTTGTCATATGAGGTGTTGGAAAGTGAGAATGTGGGGACTGGGGAAGATGTCACATTGCAGGTCACTCTTGAACGAGATCTAGAAGGGAGGACAGAGGTGGGGCCTGTTGATGCACCCAGGTATCCAAAAGCCAAAGAAGAAGGATGGTGGCTTGTTGTTGGAGACCCCAAGAGTAACCAGCTTCTTGCCATCAAGAGGGTTTCCCTTCAGAGGAGGGCAAGAGTCAAGCTTGAGTTTGCTACTCCTGCAGAAGCTGGAAAGAAGACATACACGCTGTATTTCATGTGCGATTCATTTATGGGTTGTGACCAGGAATATACCTTCTCTGTGGATGTCAAGGAAGCAATGGCCCTTGATGACGATAGTGGAAGAGAGTAAAATTTTGGCTGTACTTTTCCAACTTTGATGTGAATTTCTATTGTAGCTGCTTATGGTTGTTCTCTGTAGTAGACCATAATTTTTATTCATATGTAGGCACTAATGTAATTAGTTAACTGATAAAATTGGATTGTAGACTAAATGTTGTTTTTGTTTTCATGCTGGAATGAATGCCTCGGTAGAGTATGACAATTGGTTGATAGTGAAAATTTCTTTTGTGGATGTCAAGGAATATACACGCCACTTGCTTTGTGAGAGAGTTGGTTCTGATGTTTTGTTTAGTAACCAACTGAAACTTTTTGGCTTGCTAACACGGTGTTATTTAAGAGGGTGTTCTTTCGTTTAAGAGTTTTTATTTTTATATTACTGGGATTTTTTTCCGGGGGATATCAATTTGAGATCCAAACATGTAGAAACAATTTGTAGGGAGCTTACTTACAAACTTAAAACAAGCTATGAATAATCCAAATATTGAAATTTAAATCGTCAAAATGTTAGGCTAACATGACAATACTAAAATAATTTCCTGAGTAATTTTCATTACATAATTTATTACAGCCAAAGATTACATAGCGAAACAGGGAAATCGAGAGGGAGGAGATGTTCAATCTTCATAGATGCGGCACTCGTCGGTTTCAGGGTTTTCTTGACAGAAATATTCAAGAGGGTCCTCGTTTTGGAGCCGACGGCGGAGATCGGCCTTGGCTTGGCTGATCTCCTCCACTTCGTCCCACGCCACCTTGCACTCGTCGGACGTCTCGTCTCCCTCGCACACCTCCTTCGCCTCTTTCACCTTATTCTCTATCATCTCCGTCAGTTGCTTCTCTCTCATCTGCGTTCCCTTGAATTTGGCACCACCTCCAGCCGCTTTCGCTGTCACTCTTAAGCTCACTCCTCTATGACGACCATAACCATGGAGGTGGGTGAAACAGCTGATGTTCTGTCTCATCAACTTGCAGGAAATGGTGTCCGATCCCCGGCGCTCAGGCAAAATCGTCCGATCGAAGACCAGGCATCGGTCTCTTATGGTGGTCATTCTTGTTTGCCGATGAATGTGCGATTCGACAGATACCCAACCGCATCAAATACCATTAATTGACAAGTAATAATGGAGGTTGCTTATTCTTGCTTTTTTCTTTTTCGTTCATTTTGACGAAATTGCCCCTCAAGGCAATTAGCTTCTAGTAAGGTAAATAAACGGACGGTTCTTGGTGAAAGCAGGAGTGCGTGCATGGTTCAGGATGAAGGGTTCTGATTTTGAACAGAGGAGGAAAGGCATTATTATATTATCCATATCGACAACCTACTTTGGAGACTTGGGATAAGTTCAAACCCACGCAGGCCAATTGCAACTCTCCTCTTGTTCTTGGCTCTAGGGCTAAAATACTAAATTTAACCTTAACCCTTTATCATTAAAAAATATTCAATTTTTTTTCCAAATCAACTCATAAGCTTTGGAAAGAAGAGAAATAATCTCCTCCTTATAATAGGAAGTTAATGCGGTGTAAAACATTAAATATATACGACAGTGGCATTCACCTTGCCATATTAAGTGCAAATTAAAATCCTCCTTCATCTCCATTGCTGGCCTCCTCTCTTCGTCATCTTCTAGGGATTCTTCATTCTACTCGTTAAAAGCATTTTTTCCCCTCCATCTCCTTGCAGGAATTGCTCCAAACTTTTTAGTCAGGTTTGGATTTCAAATTTTTAGAATTGAACTAATTGAATAATTTTTTAATATGATTATTTATTATAAAATGTATTATATAATATTTGATATATAAAAATATATATTATATATAACATAATATAATAAAAATTGAAATTAAAAAAATAAATATTATTCGATTATTAACCAAATCCATTGAGATTCAGTTGGTTTGATTTCATTTATTTTGGTCAAATTCGATTGGTTAATTCAATTTCGATTAATTTTTTAATTTTTAAATTTTTTAACTGAACTAAAAATGCATTCTCTTAATTATTATAACAAATAGTATTTAAACGAAGAACTATTTATAAAACTTTTATTTTATTAATTGAATTAGTGGAGTTAATAAATTAAACTCCATGTAACTTTGTGTTTAAAAAAAAAAGGGACTTCATCAGACGCTCCCAGCCCAATCTCGTCTATTTAAAAATTATACGCGCAGCCCCCTCCGGCAGGACCAGACCATCAACGTCTTTCCCTTTTTTTTTTTTTTTTTTTTTTTTTTTTAATTTTTAAAATTGAAACATAAAATTCATATATATATATATATATATGTTGTTAACGGCTACTTGGCGTTCGAATACAAGTTCCTCCTTTTTCAAATTTTGAACTGATAAGGAGAAACCACAAAGAGCAGCCTCCCCCTCTAAAAAAACCTAAGGGAAAACCATCAAGAAAAGGAGCAGCAAAAATGGAAAACATTGCGATTTCGAAGCTGGACCCGGAAACGGAGTTTCTGGCTTCCAAACAAGAAACTGGAAACGAGTGGGAGCTTTTCAAGGAAAACGTCAGGCCCTTAAAGAGAGGTCGCGACGTTCGTCTTCTTAACGACTCCCTCAGATCCCAAACTGACAATCAACTCAAAAAACTCCTCGTCCAGAAACGAAGGTCTTCTAATCTTTTTCTTTATATCTTTATTTTCATCTATCTCATTTTCTATTTCTTGTTTTTGTTGATAGATTTCTCTTGTATTGTTTTCTGATGTTTCTTTCCCCACTTTATGCTCATTTTGATTGGGCGCAGGGAGCTGATTGAAGCGATTGACAAGTACGAAAGGAGACGATCCTCTCGATCCTTGGATCCAGTGAGTAGCTCTCTCGTCTCTGGCCCCAAATCCTCTTGCTCTAATTCAATTTCTATGCTAGAAATTAATGCTCCATTTTAAATAAACATCATATCCAGTATCTTCTTCTTTTCCCTTTCTCTGTTCCTTTCATTTCTGACGGATCTAGCTTAGTCCGAAAAATTAGGGTTTGTGGCATAAGACAAGGATTAATATTTGTTACGCTTTAGATTTTTTTTATTAACGTCTTATAGGACCTATCTTGATAAAAACTTTTGCGATTCCATTTGACCCTCATGTAAAACAGTAGATGCCTAGTGATGAAGAACACACAAAAAAAAGAATTTTAAACTTAGAAAACTTTTTATAGGAGATAAAGGAGGATCTAATTTCGGTGTAGTTTATTTCTTTATTACTTTTTCCATTTTCAATTTTTTAAAAAGTTTAATTATTTTTCCTATTATGATTATTTTATCGACTAGGACAAATATTTTTTATTTTTTCTTAATAAAAATTATTACCTTCGTCGTAAACAGATATTAAATCTATGACTTTTTGCTTGTAAATGAGAATTGATACCTTTAAAGCCAAAGGTTCATGGTCAAACATTTTCCTATTTTGGTTTTTCTATGATGTCTAAAACCTTTAGATGGAACTTGTAGTCTCTCTTTAGATTTGTTTGGAGTAACGATTTAAAAATTCTTCATGTACTTTATTAAAAAAATTATGTCTTATATGACAATTTAATTGAATCAAACAAAAATTTATAACTTTATCATATTTCTTTTCCCAAGAAAAAGTTTGTTAAAAGTATCATGTTAAAAATATTAACTAAAAGAAACTATCAAACAAATTTGTTGATTCGAAGCACCAATTTGATAAGTTTTAAAAAGTCCAAATTTAAATTTGATCAAATTAAATTATCAGACACCAGTTTGATATATTTGGTAAAATATAAAGAAATTTTATATAATAATCCATAAGTTATTCTATAATTTAATTAAGAATTCAAAATTGTCATGCGATTTAATATCTGTATATTTCTTGTTTCATTTCTCCTTAGTAGATGTTTGAAATTACTTATTTGGTGCTTATAAGTAGCTTTGAACATTATGTTATAATTTGAAAAAGTCAGTTGCTAATTCGATGCTTCAAAGTAACTTTAAATAGAAAAAAAGTAAACACTAAATTTTTATGCTCTAGTGGTTTTTTTGTTCCTATTGATTTACATTGTTGTCATTTTCTAATTGTTTATTTTTGTATAGCATTTGGCTGCTTTTAAGCAATTAAAACACAGTTCTTTAAGCAATACCAATATCCTTTTAGTTTATCCTCAAGGTCTCCTTGTCCTACTTCAATAGACCTCTGTTGTACTTGTTAGTGGTCATTTTAACTTCCGGACAATTGTTACTCTATGTTTCCTACTAGGCAAGCCCCAGATTGTATCGTTTTTCTGAAGATCTTAAACTTGCAGTTTATCAAATTAAGTATGGTCACTTATTTGCCCTGTTCTCAAGGTGCATTAAATGGGTTCAAGAGGCATTTCCACAAGGGGGAGACTCCTCAGGACTGGTGGTGATTTACGAACAATGTGTACGCACTTTTTGGCATTCAGACCGCTACAAGAATGACCTTCGCTACCTCAAAGTGTGGTTGGAATATGTGGGTTCTTTTCACAATGTTTCCCTTATTGTGCTTTAATACTTACTGCTGTTTTTGTATATCTCACTTCAAGTCTTAAGAGTTAAATCGATGTCTGTTAGAGTTGATTTCATTGTGAAACTTGTTTGCAGGCTGAACACTGTGCTGATGCAGAAGTTATATATAGTTTTCTTGATGCCAATGATATTGGAAATTCACATGCAATCTACTACATAGCAAATGCTTTGCACATGGAGTCTAAGTTAAAAATGAAAGCTTCTGATGACATATTCAACCTAGGGATACGTAGGTAAGCTATTTCTTGGTATTCGATTTAATGAAAGAGCTAGGGAGGATTCTTTTGATATTGTACCTTCCTTATGATATACAACATGTAGGAGAGAAATAAAGAGTTTACTGGCTTGGTTTAGATAAGGATCATTGCATACAATAAAATGTAGCTAAACTTGACAAAGTTGAGAATGATTGATCAGTTTCCTTCAATGAGGACTTTCTCTCAGGAGTTAATATGCTGATACAATATTTGACAGGGATTTATAGTAAGTTAAGCAAATGTTTTCTACTTTATTAATTATCCAACTTCATGTTGTGGGGCAATGGTTGTTGGTCTTGACATCAAGGGGTCCAAATTTGAGTTTTCCTAATGGTAATTTGACATGGAAAATAGGGATCTCTTTTTCCTAATTTATTTTTTACTTCGGTTTAGCAATTTCGTTTAATAGCCTGTGAAGACTTGAAATTTCTAGATAAATATCTAAACTCTTTGGCTATATAGGGCGAGTAATGTAGGGAATGTAAAAGGCTAATTTGTCTATTTAAAAACTTATGAGAAACATTCACATCTAGAGTTTATTAGATATCACACCTAAAATATGGTTCTTAAGCATTGCATTTCAGATATGATTGCATCACAAACTCTTAGAATAACACAATTGGTGTCAAAGGTATGACTAGAAAAGTAAATATTTGTAGTGATATCGTATCAAGAGCCTTTCTTTGAGTGGATATCTAGAGTTTATTAGTATCACAAGTAAGGTAGGATTCTTAAGAATCACACTTGTAAGGCATTTGTAGTGGTTAAATATAAAATATTAATTTAACTAATACTAAAAATTCTAATAGAAAACTAAAACTAAAAAAATTAAATTATAAATAACATTCTAAAACTAGTAGGAACCTAATTTTATCAATCATATTACGAGAAATTATAGATATAAATAAAATCCTAAAACAACTAAAGACCTAATTTTATCCGTGTTATTGCAATCAATTGTAGATTGATCATTTATATTATTGGAAAAAATTTTAAGAAATAAATTAGTTTTAAATAATATTTTTTTTTAAAATGGAAGAAAAAATGAGGAGAGACTAATAGAAAGACTTAATTTTTCATTTGTGATTATTGCAAAAAATGTTGAAATATATGGGTATATATATGCACTAATACAACTCTTAAAATTCCAAAAAACACATATTATAATCTTAACTTCATAATCATAATTAAGTTAGGATTTGAACCATTTAAAAAAAATCAAAAGACACATATTTATATCTTAACTTCTTGTAAGATAAAAAGTATCTTCTTAATTTACAAATTATTATTTTTAACTTTTTAGTAATACAAAAAAGTTATCTTAATTTGTAAATTATTATTTTTAACTTTTTAGTAAAATAAAGAATTTTCTTAATTTGCAAATTATGATTTTCAATACATACAATTTCTATTTTATTGAGAAAATTTAATTTAATTCGAGAGCACGAGTTTAAAATATAGAATTTCCGAAAAATCTTAGCAAATTCTAATTGATCATTCTGTTTAGAAGTAAAAATAATGGAAAGACACATGTGATGCCTACATGCCCAATCACTTCCATTTGGTCGTTGCATGCTAACTATTGAAGATTAAGATAGTTCAACTGATGTAAGAGTTAAAATCGCATGGCTCATAGACAAATATTGTGCAATTCCTTCAATCCAAATATAGTTCAAGTAAATTATAGATATATAGCATATGTGATGGCTGTAGCACTAGTGAATCCACCCTTATCACAAGAGGATAAAATAGAAATTTTCCTTTAAAATTTTTAATTCCTTTAAATTCCCTTCATTTTTCTTCCAATTTGGAGGAATAGATAATTTGGAGTTTTAAGGTCTATACTAATTATTATTTTTTATCTGAACAAGGGAAATGAGATTGAACATCCTTTCCTTTTCTTTTTCCCCCAAATTCCTTCAATCCAAACGTAGTATAAGTAAACTATAGATATATAGCATATGTGATGGCTGTAGCACTAGGGAATCCACCCTTCTCACAAGAAGAAATGATCCAACCACCTGACTTTAGGTTTTTGAAATTGTGGTGGTTCAACTAATCTAAAAGATCATGTGGAATAGTTTCAAATCTTTGATGTTCATAAAGAGGATCCTTATACAATAAATGTGCAGGACTTCTCGGGTAGCTTGACAGTGGTGTTCGATTCTGCAGGTGCATTCTTTAATACAACAATCATTGTTAACCCATTTGGTCAATAGTATAGATTGAAAACTCTACCTGTTCTGCTTAATCCAAAACAAGGAAATGCAATAGATTTGGCACTGAAAGCCCTATGTTTACCAGAAAAAGAAAAGGTAATGAATGACCTTAGTTAATAGATTGAAGCCTCCTCCTTCACAAATCTCTTCAGAAAAAGAGCCTATGATTTCAATTGTCTCTCCAGAAGGCAGAGACGTTCATCAATGTAGAAGAATTATTTAACACTCAGTTTGAAGTTGAGATCCTAGCCAAAAAAAAAAAATATTCTACCGAATCCTCTAACTTAGACAAAAGAATCCCTGGGCCAGTGCAAAATCTTCTTTCTACTCATTAGGCATCTTGAGTACGTGAAGTGAGTATTCTAATGGTAGCTTGAGATAGGCAATACATAATGACACCAAAAAGATGGAAGGAGACCATAAATAAGAAATCAAAATAATTTTGTTGATTTCATACAAAATTGGAGACTAGTGGTTTTCTACCCTGTAGGTGCATTCTTTAATACAAAAATCATTATGAACCCATTTTGTAATGGTAATAGATTGAAAGTCTAGCTGTTCTGCTTAATACAAAACAAGAAAATGTAGGAGATTTAGCACTGGGAGCCCTATGTTTACCAAGAAGGAAAAGTAATGAATGACATTAGTTAATGGATAGAAGCCTTCTCCTAAACAAATCTCTTCAACAAAAGAGTCTATAATTCCAAAGGTCTACGTCCTCGCAGAGGCAGAGACATTCATCAATGTAGAAGAACTATTTGCCACTCAGTTTAAAGTTGAGAGCCTAACAAAAAAGAAATATCCTATAAATCCTCCAACTTAGACAAAATAATCTGCCGGGGGCGGCAAAACCTTCATTTTACTCATTTGGCATTTGAGACTTGTATATTCCTTTGAGTACGTAGATTGAGTATTCTAATGGTAGGCTGAGATAGGCAATACATTCAGTGACACCAAAAGATGGAAGGAGACCATAAATAAGAAATCAAAATAATTTTTTTGATTTCATACAATATTGGAGACTTTTGGTTGTCCTTCTTGAATTGCTTTTCTTCAAAGCCCAGTATTGCTTTTAGAAAATTAGTATCTGATAATTCATGTCCTAATTGGTTTTTCCAAACATTTTCAATTGCAAAAAGCGAATTCAGTTGCTATGGGAAAGTGACTGCATTATTGCTTTCTAAAAAAACAATAAAATTTGCTTCCGAGAGAAACAAATGTACACATAATCCGTCAAAATTAATATGGAATTGATTGAGATATTTTAATTTTTTTTAAAAATATAAGTTTTCCTTAAATACAATACAATTGTTATAATTTTATCTCTTATGATCTGCAAGCAATTAATATGATTGTATTCTCATAGTATCTTGTGCATTATTATCAAACACAAATAAGTTGTAGACTGTCTCGATAATATTCTACGAAAAATATTTGCCAAATATTACAATTACTTTTGATGACAAAGAAGCTTTTAATTGCAGGAACTAAAATAAGCTTTTCTGAAAATAAGTTTTTTCCCCAAAACACAATTAATATGAAGCCTAAAGTTTGTTATCAGCTTGAATAAGATAGAAGGCCATGTTAGAGGAGACTATTTGGATTTATTTGTTGATTGTCCAGAACCTGGAACTGCTAGGACAAGAAGACTTGAACTGAGTGTGAAGGTTAGTGGTGTTAAAATTAGTTAGCAACTGAATAACAGATATAATATCCGGACCCAAGTGCTACTAACCTAACAACTTTTTGAACTCAAATCACCAACCTTCAAAAGTTTAAACTCAAGTTATTGGCAGTATGTGGTTTGAGCTTTTATATGAAACTTATTAATCATATATCTTTTCAATGTGGAACTGATGTATTACAATAAAACTACACAAAGAACTCACCAGAAACGAACATAAATAATGGCGGGATTCGAATCGGGTCCATTCATGAATAAGAAAGATTATCTCTCTCTCTTCTGATTTTTTTCTCTCTCTCGCTGCATTTGTTAGCATTGATGAGCAAGTTGAAGATGTACACTGCAGAAACAAGCAATTTGCTGAAGGCGATATGGTAATGATTTTCCTACCTAAAAAGAAGGTTCCAGTTGGTTGAGTATGAAGGATTACAACCATTGACATATGATCCTAAGAAGCTATTGGAGGAAACAAACAATAATGCGTATTTGGTGGGGATACTTAAAAACTAGGGGATTTCTTGCTCTTTTACTGCAGATCTCATCTTTTATTACCACTGTCCTAGATCATTTTGTTAGCAACTAGAGGACTAGTTTTCAAAAGAGAGGAAAGTGATGTGGAGAAAGAGGATTTGATATCACCTAATATTGTTGTCACTTCAATTTTTATTGCTATTATTTTCTTAGATAAGATTTTTGTCAAGTTGTCCATCATGGACTAGAACCTACATCTTAAGGGTTTAGCAGTTCTTTTTCTTTTATGAAGTCTTTAAACCTTTACAAATATAAAGCTCTATGGACTGAAGAAGACAAATCATAAATATTGTTAGGCTTCTTAAATAAAATTTTGGTATTCCTTCAATTTTTTATAGTTGGTAAAAGCTAAGTGTGTTTGGTTGTTTGTCTCTAAGTGTGTTTGGTTGTTTGTCTTTCTTGTAATATAAAGATATATTCACTATTCCACGATGTCAGAATCTCAACCACAAAAATGTAATTCCTCCTGCCTTTATAAGTCATTCAAATTTGTTCCAACTGAAGGCAACTGAATACTTAACCTATAATTTGATTGTTAAGTGCTCATTAAGCAAGCAGACCTTTTGAACCCAGTACTGATTATTGCTTTGTCCATTCTACAGGAATGCTCAACCAGTAGAAAAATTGAAGGATGCCTACAAGAGATTTCTTGCACGCTCAATGAGAAGGCCGAAAGTGGCCCATTATGTATGCAACTAAACTGAAAAACTAGGACCGATTTAATTTATTACTCATGGCATATGTAATCTACAATAAAAAAAGAAAAAAAACTAAGATCGATAATTTTTCCATTTTCAACAAACTCTTACTTTTTTCTCTTTTCAATTCCAAACTGCAGGAGGACCCAAAGGAAAATCATTCGTCTGCCAGGTCTTTTGGAACTGTTTTAACCACTGGAGAAAATCGTAAGTGCCTCTGCTGTTCTCTGCTATCTTCAGTGTTTTCAGGATTTAAACCTCCTTCTATTGATGCAGGAAGGCAGACCACAGACATTGTCAAGAAAAGGTCAAGGACAGATGGGTAAGCACAGTAATTTTCAAGCATGCAGGCCCTACTTTCTCTCCATTTTCCTCTTCCATTAATCTTTTTTTTCCCCGTTATTAACATGGATTCTATCATTAAATAGAAACCTGGAAGAGGTTAAGAAGGAAATTGGTCCAGCTTTAGAGAAATTGGTGACAGTTTGACCAGAAACACTATTTCTTTAGGCAAGCCTAGGTGATGCATAACCCTCTATGTCTAAATAAGAAGGCTGGTTTTAGTGCTTTTTAAGAAATTTGCTTTTGTTTTTCTAATTGAGAAATAAGACCTTTTAGGAGATTTGAGTATTTAGTTATTTAAGAAATTTTGGAAACTTGGATTTGCTTTCTTTAGTTGTTTTCCCTTTTTTATCGGGGTTAGAATCTATATAAAGGTTTCTAATCAACAATTTATGGAAGCTTGGAATTGATAATTTTCTAGTGATTTATTTCATGATCTCTATTGTTCCTGTTTCTCTTCTTGTTTCTGTCTCTTTGTTCTTCATAGGCACCTGGTACTCTTCTACTCTGCCTCTAAAATCTTCACCTTTTGCCCCTATTTCCCTCAGTCTATCTATTATTCTATTATCTTCCCTATATTTTTCTCGTTTTCTCTACTTTGAGAAAGCGTGATTCTACCGTAACTTGTCCTACATCACTAGGGTTTTCTTTTCTTCTCTGGTGCAGAAAATTTTGTTATCATTTTCTTTCTTTCAATTAGCAAGACAAACCTGGATATTGTAAACTTCCAGTCTTATCAGTCTGGGATACAAAATAGAAATTAAATTCCAAATGATGGAAAATATATACAAATTTCTAATTTGTTAACCTTAAAAGATTATTCTAGAAGAGGATGAAGTGGAGAGCTGTGCCATTGGTTCCAAGTGAATATACGAGTATAGATACTGAAGATAGGAATATTAGTTGTGACAAGATTGAATAAAAGAAGATAGAAGCATACACACGATAGCATAGTCAAACATGTACATATAACAATAAAAATACACTAGCTGAAATGCAAGTAATCTTGGTTCTTAAGACTTAAGAAATGACTGATCAACTCTTTTGATTGAAATAGTTCTCAGTGATTAGGATAGGCATATTACTGAAGATACTAAAGATAGGAACATTCATTGTGACAAGGTTTAATAAAGGAAACTAGAAGTATAGACATGATTAGGATATGCAAACATGTACAGATAACAAGAAAAGAGATGCTAATTGAAATCTATGTAACCTACTTCATAAACCTTGGTTGTTGAGACTTGAGAAATGACTGATCAACTTTTTTGATTGAAATAGCTCTCAGTGATTAGGAACATTCATTTACAATGATCTTAAGAAAGAAGGGTGGGGGAAGGGGGCATCCACTTTACAAGCAACTTTCATGCATAGGTGTGCGTTAATTACAATTCTTTAATACCATTTCTCAATCTCAATAAATAAGGATTATCTTGGGGGGGGGGAGGATTTTCCAAAATGTCCTCTCATTATTGTGTTTTAAAATTTGTTTCTCAACCAATTCTAGGGCTCAGAGAACTCCACTATGAGGTTTAGAACCTATATAAGAGTATGTCAACTCTTTTTCATGCATTGGTGTACTTCAATATTATATTTTAACATTTTCTTTTTTCTTTTCAATTAATGAAACAATATTATATTCATGGATCCAAATTACTAGAAGTCCTGATTATTTTATCAAACACATTTCAAATTGATCCAATTTCTTGTTTCCATACTCCATCCAATGATTTATTTATTTTAAAACCTCTTTTGTTCCTGTTTGGTTAAATTGAAACAATGTTATCCATGTTTTCATACTTCATGATATTATGTTTATTACTTGGGTACNTTCAATTGAGGTTTTTGTGATGAGGAATGTGCAGAGTAAGTAGCAATATATTTTACAAGTTTTACAAGCAGGTTTCACAATTTTATCCTGCCTTGCACTTTGAAAAACATATTCTTCCAAATCTATCATCGAAGTCTTTGCTTTTCAATATGCTAATAAAGCAGTGATAGCATGTTTATTCGGTGCTATCACGTGGATTTGAAGTTAGTTATTCGTGGGGTATATTGTGTTTGGAGTATTATGGGCATTGGGGTTGTTAAGATTCCAAATACTGGAATAATGTAGTATTGTGGGGGTTTGGGGTTGTTTGAGTCGTTTGCTTGTGATCAAAACAAATGGGAGTGATGCCAAATGTCATTTACTCTAAAAGTCCTTTAAAGGGTTGTGTTGGTTTCGATTCCTAATTTTTTTCATTAGTCTTAATATGCATAATGTCTTAGAAACAATAATCTACAGTGTTTTAGTTATCACTACCACATTTAGTGGTAATTGATTAGTTCTCTAAGTTGATTTCTATTTTGAATTTTCATTTACTTTCTTATAAAATTTGTTTGCAGGGGACATCAAAGGACTGAAGGTGGTAACTCCACTTTTCCGCTCAGGCAGGTTGATGGAAGAGACATAAAGAAGTAAGTGAGGTCTTTTTTCTTCTCCAGTATCAGATAGGTGTTTGTCAATGACATAAACATTTATCTTATCTACATATTACAGAGAGACTGAGCTCCTGAGACAGAATCCTCTGCGCAATTTCCCTCCAAACAGCATTCCTAGATGACTACAGAGGCCTTTCTTACGCATTGTAAAATGGCTGCACATATGGATCAGCTTTTGTCTCTAAAGCTTGATCCATTTCAAGTTATTGCATGGTTTGTGTTTGTCTTCATGTCCTCTTATTCCCTCAAATCTTGATGAACCATATTTGTAATATGCTCTCAAAATTGTAAGACTGGTTTGTTGGTTTTCCGTTGTTGAAATTCTTCAGTTCTTAAAATCTTACATTCCATGGGCTAAAAATCCTACATTCCATTTGAGGAGCCATGATCCACAAACTATTCTTACATTCTATTTCATAGAACTTCACAATCAAAAACTTTTTCACCTTAAACCTTAAAATCCTAAATGTTAAAATCCTCAATCCTAAAACCCTAAAATTCTAAACTCTTAAATCATAAATTGAAAAACTTAAAACGCTAAAACGTAAATTTTAAAATCTTAAACTCTAAAATGAAAATTATAAATTGTAAATTATAAACCATAAACCATAAATCTTAAATTATAAATAGTAAATCTTAAATCCTAAACTCTAAAACTTTAAAACTCTAAATTTTAAATTCTAAACTCTAAACATATAAAATTTTAAATTCTTACCGTCTTAAGCTTTGAAAATCTTAAATCCTAAAAATTTAAAAGTATACACTTTAAAATGTAAACTGTAAACCCTAAACTCTAAAACTGTAAACTTTAAACCCTAAATCTTAAACTCTAAGCATAAAAATCTTAAATCATAAATCCTAAATTATAAATCCTAGTTATAAACCCTAAACCCTTAAAATCCTAAATCCTATACCTAAACTTAAACTCTAAATCCTAAAACATTAAACCCCAAATCCTAAACTCAAAACTTTAAAACTCTAAAATCCTAAACTCTAAATTCTAAAACCCTAATACTCTAAACTTTAAATTCTAAATTCTAAACCCTAAATCCTTAATCCTAATAATGTATGATTTTATGTGACTTAAAGGTTTAGTAGTAGGGTGAATAGATAATAAAACAAAAGAATTGAGTTTCTAAATTTCAATATCTAATATTACTTTGATTTTGTTTAAATAAACTGAATTATTAATCATCTAAAAAACTTATAACTAATAAAAAGAGCACTATTTTTTGTTTTATATTCTATTTCTAAGAATTAAATTGTGTAAAATGTTTGCATGGTTTGGGTTATGGGTAGAGGATCTCTAAAACCATATGTTATCGTAACATCATCGAGCTCCAATTATAAATCTTTTGCCTATTATGAGTTTTAATAATACTTAAACTTCTATTTTTTGAATGTCACTGAAAATATTCTATTTATTTCTTTTTTATTTTATCATATTTACATCATATTCTACAATTAAATTTTTACATATTTGCATTTACTAACATTTTTCTAAAGATATTGCAAATTCTGTAAATGTATTTGGTTCTTTATATTTTTATTTGTTAATTGGTGTAGGATAAAGTGAGTTTGAAGGTAAAATTTAGAAAAAATTTATTAAGAACAAAAGTTAAAAATTTAGATCTTAATAACTAAAACGATATCTTATATTTGAATAATAATCGTAAATAATGTACTTAATAAATAAGATAAGATACCTTATTTATAAGTATAAAAAACAGTCAAAATAAGAAAACTAGAAATAGAAATTTATTATCGGACATAACTTTTTAAAATTGATTTAATTCTATTACTAACATGACATGAAAATTTAGTTTTTCAGTAGATGTCTAATATTTAAATTCACTTCTTCATCGTAATGGGCATAGTTGTGAACAAGTATATTATTGTATAAAAAGTATACTAACTTTATATTAGTTCAAGCTTTTGGGTGAAAAAAATTGTTCAATTACATTTAATAGAATCTATATATTAATTTTAAAGATTCCACGTACACATAAAAGGAAAATATAATACAATAATTTATTTAATTTTTTCCACCACCTTATAGAATAGGAAATTAGTAAAAAAATTTACTAAATCTTTTCTTTAAACTCTTTGCTTACTATTAGACATTCAATTCACTAATATATCAATTTTCCTTTATTTTGCATTATTATTACTCACTATTAGGTGTTTAAACTTTTATTTGAACTTATTATTATTTACCATAGCGTTATTATTACTCACTATTAAATGTTTAAACTTTTGTTTGAGCTTATAAAAAATAGATATGATATAATCGAATTATTTTATCGTTTCCATTAACTCTTGGGATAGAAAATTAGTAAGGTTATGTTTCGAACAAATGAATTTCAATTGTGAAATTTATTTAAAAACTTTTATTATTTTAACCATAAGAGAGTGGTGATGGATAGAATTTGAAATGGATTATAATAATTCTATTAGAATTGCTTAGGAATTTCAATTTTTATCAATTTTTTAAGGGATTATGTATTTATTTTATAGTTAAAATAAGTGTATATTTCTAAAAAATTGTATAAATAAAACACAAACAAACGTAACTTATTCGCCCTTTTGATTGACTACTTCACCCATTACTAGTCATCCTCACAATGTAAAACCTGCAAAACATACTTTCATTGAATATTAATGGTTCACATTTTCTCTAAATTTTTCAATATACATTCTTGATTTAAAAATTTTGTTTACATGTTTTGAGTTCAATATATTAGAAAATAATTGAGTAGAAACTTTTCATCATTTCTGTTAGGATCAATAATATCATTTTTTAAAAAATAACTAACTTAATAGTCTGCATTAAGGGAATAGTTGGTAAACAATATAATGATTTCGCAATAGTACACTAATAAAAAATGTAAAGTATCATTCAAACTACTTATTTGTCGATATTTTTTATTTCATTTTTTTTATAATTTTAGAAATAACATTTGATGTCATGAAAATAATGGGAATAGATAGAATAGTAAAATGCAGTTCAACATTTTGTGACAAAAAAAATTAAAATCGATATGTACAAAAAGTGTCAAAGGTGGAACAATTTTATTCCTATAAAGCAATGGAACAACTTTGTTCTCATAAAAATAAAATCTTACTTTCGTTATATACTCCTCTCTCTCACCTAACCATATCACTTTATATTTTACAAATCAGCTTATTTAGCGTAATTATAATTTTGTTACTTAACGTGAAAATCGAGGGAAAAAAATAAAATATTACAAAGATTTCTAAAGTCAGTCTTGAACCAACCACGTGGACTATTCATATTGCAACTAGTGGCTTTGGACTTCATTTGGGACCAACAGCTGGCCTACTCAACTGCTTTAGTCAACCGTAACAACTATCACTTTCACGGTTAAATTATTTTATGTTTTTTTTTTTATAAAAAATTAATTTAATCTCAATTATTAATTTCTATTAATAATAACGTAATTTTTTTATCCGTCAAAAGTATTAATTAAATATCTAGTTAAATGTTACATACAATTAATCTAATAAAAAATTAATGTATTAATAAATTTGACATGTGATATCTTAAATAAATTTTTATTAAACAAAAATAAAAAGTGCTTGATCATATTATTATTTTATTCAAATCTTAATTGTCGGTCCAATCTTTGGCTAAGTGTAAAAATTGGACTAAATTTGCGAATTTACGAAGCTGTCCTCATTGTGGGGTCAATTTGGCTGTGTTTTACTTTTTGTAAAAGATACGGGAATTGCACGCACCCCCCAACCAAACGAGACCTGGCATTTACCATTTGTTTTATTTATTTATTTGGATTTATGACCCAAAGAGAGAGAGATAGAAACATGCATTAAACGGCAGTTACGGTCATCCCGGGCAGTTCCGGTCACCCTCAGACTGACCCAATCCTAACCATGTGGACCCCATGACACTCTCTCTCCATCACGCTTTCCCTCGTGTCCTAACCCCCTTACTGTGGTATAAATATCGAACCCGGGTTTCCTCAACCTTGCTCTTCCGGCGTTTACCTCCACTCCCTTTATTCAATCATCATCTTGTATCTTCTACCTCATTCTGTTTCTGATCAAAACTATAGAATTCTCTCTGAAACTGTACCTCTCACCTTTTCCCTGTTTGTTTCCCACGAAACACGCGTCTTTGTCTCCTCATTTGGGTTTTATTTTTTGATATTTTCTTCTGAAGAAGTTCTTACTCTTGGGGTCCAAAAGTCTCTCCTAATCTCAAGGTAATAATCCTCTCTTTTCATATTGATTTCTTTATGTATTCAAGAGAGTTTTTGCATTAGATATTACTTTTTCTTATTAATAGTTGCTTTATTTGTATGCTCTCACTTAGTTACGGACTTACTGTTGTGTAATTTACGCGTATATGGTTATTCTGGGATCCAATCTTTGGCTCTGTTCGTTGAATTTGTCCTCCTTGATTCTATTTGATTCTTTGGTAGCTCTATTTTCCACCACTATTTTTTAGCTAATTACCTGTATGCACAACTCATGCATGAAGTAGCTAGGAAGTTATAAGATTTCCAGTATATGCACATATTTTGAAGAGGAAAGAATAGGAGAGATTTTGCTTTAGGTTCTCTGTTTAGCGCAAAGTTAACCAGCTTTAGGCATTAGGCACTTGGTTTTGTCAATTTAAAATCAATTACTGATTGGATTACATCTTTAGTTATAGGAAAATGGCACAGTTTCATAATGATGACCTTGAATACATGGTCCATGACTACTCTGACGCCGCTGATTTTGAAGATGACCCGTTTGGTGAAGCTAAGCCTCTGGGAAACGACGATTTTGAGTCTGTTGACTCAGATTTTGAGGACGATTTTGAAGTTGTATGTTTCCTTTCTTTTTATTTTTCTTCCCCCTTTTTTCAGATTCCATGGAATTTCATTATTAAGAGCATGTTTGTTCTATAGAGTAAACCACAGACTGATACTTCAGCTCTTGAAGCAAGAAATGGAAAAGACATACAGGGGATTCCTTGGGAGAGGCTTAATTTTACCAGAGATAAGTACCGCGAGACAAGATTGAAGCAATACAAGAACTATGAGAACCTCTCTCGCTCTCATGAAGAGCTTGATAAGGTTAGTTCATTTCATCACCAGTCCATGTTTTGTGAAGTCTTACTTTTCTGCAGAGACGCAAACCAATCCACGCATAGTAGGTCCTTCGTGCTAATTTTGTTAGAACGTATTTCTTTTGTTTTTTATAAATAAAAAAACAGATGACTTCTTTTACATTCTTTTTACAGTATATTGGAATTCCAGTTGTTTTAAGTGCCAATTTAATTCTTCTTGTTGAGTTTCTTTTTCTTTTAAGTTTAATATCTGTTATTTTATCAAAAACAAAAAAGAATTAAAGGAAGCTGGATTAGTGAACCCCATGTTCGTTTCACCATCTTGATTTTTGGGGTTTGATTCTTGATTAAGTAAGAGGATATTCAGATTTTCACCCGAAAAATTTCAGAATTTTAGTAGTGATCTCATAATTGTGTTGAAAATATAATCCAAATAATTTGTGTTTTCGCCTGACTCTTATAAAGTTTTCACTGAATATTCTTTTTAATTAATTCGTCATGTTAATTATTTCAGTACTAAACATATTCTGATTAACAGGAGTGCTTGCAAATAGAGAAGGGAAGGACCTTGTATGACTTTCAGTTCAACACAAGGCTTGTCAAATCTACGATTGTGCATTTTCAGGTAGAGACTGTACTCTTTTAACTTAAATTACTGATATGTGAGGAGTTCTTCTGTATCAGTTGGATCGTACTAGTAATTTTTTCACATTTAACCTCTATGTTGCCACAAACTTATGTATTGGAGTCTTCGGTTGGGATTACCAATCCCTCAACTATAAGTTGCCGATGGCTAGTTGCCGTCATCAAGTTTTTGCATAGAAGTTGCATTTAACCCACAAAAACTCAGTTCTGTGTTGGATAGACATATTCTATCCTTTAGTTTTATAATCTTGCCTATGTTGATATTCATTAATCACTGTAGCTTTTCCATTTCTTACACGTAAGTTTCTTTTTCCTATGATATTTGTTTGTAGCTCTATGCCTTGTTATTCATTGGGACATGTAAGTTCACACAGCTGTTAGGTTATAAGTGAATTCATTCCTCCATGGATTATTGGATGTAATGGATTTACAAGCCACATACAGCTACTTTTAACTATGAGAAGTTATCCTGACTACGCTTTGGTCTGGTGAGGTCATAATAACAACTCTTGTTTGGATATTGAAACTGTGCCACAATCTAACCTTGACTGGACACGTATTCGGCAGACGGACTTTTTTCCATCTATTACGATATGACGGTCAATTGCTATTTCCCCCGACTAATCTAACCTACTCACTTCTTATGCACTGCATATAGGGTTTCAAGCTGGGGTGTATTCAGATGGCCATTAGTTTTGTAGATTTTGTCAAAAATGCTTATTTTTATGTGCTCTTACTAACAATTAATTAAGCTCTTATTAATTAGAAATCTGGTATAAGGATGCAGTCTCAATGAGGTGAATCGATGCCATGTTTTGTTGCTTTGTGTGCATTATAGTTTTCTCTTTTCCTTCTTTTTTCATGACTACTGGTGGGAATTGTTGTCTTTTTACCCACTTAAACATGTGGATGAGCATAATAACGTGCAATCATTTGAGCGATAGTTATGGTAATGTTACATGCTTGAATTCAAGGGTCTAGAAAGATTGTTAATGGAGGTCATCCTACCACTGCCCATCCCTCCCTCAGGTGGTATCTGTGCATTATAGTTATGGTAACACTTGGCTTTCAGAGACAACAGTGCATGTCATAAATATGCAACAAATTGTCATATCTGTGCATCATAATCTGATTCTTGTTGGGTGTACTGCATCCTAAGGCATCCTAACACATAAGCAAGCTTTCATATGACATGTGCTTGCAAACTAATGTGAAGTGCATCAAAATGAAAACACAAATAAGCCAGACAAGGTTTCATGGAAGAACACAAATTGTGGTACAAGCATCAGCTCTCCAGTCTCTTGCAGTCCTCATTCTACATAGCTGTAATGACCTTCTTAATATTTTCTGTTTCCGATGTCAGAAGCCATGATATTTTCATTACCAAAATTTATGGTCTTTTTATGAATGTTCATGACCAGGATGATCAACTGCATTTGGATATCAATCTTGTAGTTGTCCAACATTTTACTGATGAAAGAAGCTTGAATTTGAGTTGCTACCTCTCATGTGTTCTATATGATTATGGGCTCTTATCAATGATCTAGCATGCAACTTGCTACTATATTGCTGTGACAATTTGGAGTCCTGCTGAAACCTTTTGAATGTTAAATTTTTTATCATGTATTCTTGATATCTTTGGCCTGTGAATATTTGATTTCTTGTCTGTTAAATATAATATATTTTATCTTTTAACCCTTTGTGGCATTTAGGACTGCCGATTTTCCTCTTATTTCAGCCTTTTAAAGCAGGTTTGGAGTTATCTGAGCAGCTGGAACAATAAGGATACGATGTATATATGGTATGATAGGAAATGTTTGATGGTTAATCATCATGATGGGATTAACATTACTCTCCATTCGCTTTTGTCATATTCTATTTAAATTGATATCTTTAGTTGGTAACCTGCATGATTATCTAATATACTTCTCATTACAATCTCTCTGGTTTGTGCTTTGAGTTATCTATTTCAAGAATTCATAATTGAAACATAAAATTGTCATCTTTAGAGTTCAGTTATAAAATTTGTGCTAGAACTGTTATGGTTCTGTTTTGTCTATTCCTGGGAAACACAAAGTATCTTAACTGCTTGTTTCATAATCGTTGGTATGCTGGTATCTAACTTTCCTACGGGTGTCATCTCTTTTCTTTCCTAAGTTCTGTCACTAGCCAATGTTGGTTACAAGGGAGTTCCTAAGTTCATAAGTTTCTCATATTGGTTTTGCATTATTCCTCCATTTGGCACTTCATTACATGTCATGTCCATGTGCCTTTCCATTTTATTTTGCAACTTCCATATGGTGTGGTTAATGTGATGAAGGGGGTCTATTTTTGTGCAAATTTTCTGTTATGTGCAGTTAATTGAAGAGGTCACCAATTTTTTGCATAGGATTTTGGTTGCAACAAATGCACTTTCTTTCCATTTCTTTTTTTTGTCAGCTTTTATTGTTAGGAAAGGGAAGATGGCTCGCTTTTTCTTGTTTACGTCCCTTATTCTCCACACTCCTACCCCCAACCAACAATATGAATATTAAGATGGCTATCTTTTTTTTTTTCTTCATGTCACTTTTGGTCATGCATGCTTCTCCTGGTGGTAGTGTCGTTCTAGGTTCTTATGCATATATCTTTAATAGCTAAACCCGGACAAGCATGTAGCAGATAGTTCACTAATTCTAAAATAGCACTTAATGCATTCCACAAGCCCAACTTCGCGCACCCCACAATACGATTTGCAAATGAAGTGAAAAAAAACACTTGTCAATCCACATTCTATTGTATGGTGAACGTAAATTTTGATGCAATGGATGGGAAAGGGCATTCTAATGTTTCTGGGGAGGAGAAACAGAATGGACTGTCTAATGTAACTAGCCAGATGGATTAATTTGAGCTGAATGAAGCAGGTGCTCTGTTTGACGATTGTAGTTTTCCATTGTTTCATAGAGTTTGGGTTTTAGTTTTAATAAATTGTCAATTTCTTTAACGGATACTGCAAATTACTATTATGCATATAAGACTAATAGTGACTGCTGATGCCTTAGTTGAATTATTTATTGGATTACCCGTCTTATTTTTTGTCTATACTGTACTGAGTTGAATTGTATACTGTTATATTATCAACCTTGTTCATTTTTTCTTGTGCAGCTGAGAAATCTATTATCAGCAACCTCAAAGCATGATGTGTACCTTATCCAAAATTATTCACTAATGCACTGGTCATCACTTCTACGGAGGGGAGAAGAAGTACTTAATGTGGCCAAACCAATTGTTCCCATACTGGTGAGTATTTTGTGGTTTGCAAAGGGGAGTGCAAATAGAACTTCTTCTCTTACTTAGCACTCTACTCCACTTTTAGTAATTCCATGACTAGAGGAGAAAGGAATGCTGTTGGTAATTAGGGCTTGAGCACCTGCCATTCCATATACTGCTAGCAACTTCTATTTTTCCGTCCTTTGCAACTCAAATCAGGTCTTTTTTTGGATTGTCAGAGACAACCTGGATTTTTATCTTCCACGGTATCTAGAGTGCAAATAAGCACGATGGCAGTTAAAGAAAATTTGATAGTAGCTGGTGGCTTTCGGGGGGAGCTTATTTGTAAGGTTAGTTTTTTCATTGGATTCATAAATTCTTTCTTTGGTTTTCCTTGATTATTGCCTCAATGGACAGAATTTATTATTTGCTGTTTAATTTCATGTTTGTAAAAGATATTCCTTAATGTGGTCAGTATTTAAATCAACATGGGGTTGCAATCTGTGCAAAAATCACTGCAGATGAGAATGCCATCACTAATGCGGTGGATGCATATCGTAGTTCCAGGTAATTACTGTTCTTGGATTTTATGTATGTTCTACTTCCAACTGGACATGTGACTAAACCTTCTCTTTGCAGTGGCGCAATGAGGGTTGTGGCTGCAAATAATGATGCTAAAGTTCGGGTTTTTGATGCTGAGAACTTTTCTTGCATCAACAATTTTACCTTTGCTTGGTCTGTAAATGTGAGTTGCCTTTTTAAGAAGCATTGAGGTGCATATTGGTTATGGATTCTTTCTAAATTGCTGACAGATTTGATGGCTCTCTTTGCAGAACACATCTGCTAGTCCAAATGGTAAATTGTTTGCAGTGCTTGGGGACAGTTCAGAGTGCTTGATTGTTGATGCTCAATCTGGGAAAGTGAGTCACTTACCTGCTTAAGAATACTTGAAATTCAGAAATATTTGTCAAAGTTCAATTCATCTCCTCAATGCAGGTAACTGGAAACCTTAAAGGTCATCTGGACTACTCCTTTGCTTCAGCTTGGCATCCAGATGGCCAAATTTTGGCTACAGGGAATCAAGACACTACTTGCCGATTGTGGGACATAAGGAATTTATCCCATTCCCTGGCTGTATTGAAGGGAAGGATGGGAGCAATCAGAGCTCTGAAGTTCACCTCAGACGGTCGGTTCTTGGCGATGGCTGAGCCAGCTGACTTTGTTCACATCATTGATACAGAGTCTGGGTACATGCAGGGTCAAGAAATTGATTTGTTTGGGGAAATTGCTGGAATATCATTTAGCCCGGACACTGAGGCTCTTTTTGTGGGGGTTGCAGATCGCACTTATGGTAGCTTGTTAGAGTTCAATAGAAGACATTACAACCGATATTTGGAGTCTATCTTCTAATTGGATGCAGCCCAAAGTATTCTGGTAATCTCTGCAACCATGTAATGTTAATGGTTATGTATAGCTAGCGGCAGACATCTCAGACTCGTACTGCGTGTGTGAAGTTCTTAGTTTCCGGAAGTCGATCTTTTTGGCTGCTAAGAAGCTACTTACGTGGGGTTTTAATTTTTTTTCTCTCGTTAGAGGCAGATCAGGAAGAAAAAATTTTCTTTGGAAAAAAATTTGTCAGTGTAACGCTTTTCTGGATTGCATCTTATATTTGAGCTTTGAGCTATGGTCAGTTCTTTTGTCAATCATATGAATATATATATATGTTGAGATATATTGGACTTATGATCAAACTTTTTTTTGTTATAAGAGATTGTAGTTCTAAGGTAAATTTGTATTCCGTGTATTTTTTAAGGTTATTTTTTATTTTGTTGTAATTAATGTATATATATTGAATGAATGAATTTTTATTTAAAAAATTTATATTTATTAGTGATTTCTGAAGTGATTAGACTAGAAGAAAAGCCGAGGGAAAAATGATAGGTACCTTCAAGCAAAGCTATGAAAGGATACTGATGGTTATTACCCCAGCTTTGTTGTGCTTCCCGAAGGGCAAGAAATCATGCATAACATTACGCCTGCATGAAAACTATTCTAGGCTTATATTACATGGCCGCACAACTGTCTCACGGGTTCTATTAACGCTTTCCTGAGCAGTTGAACCCCCCAAACGGATTTATGCATGTGAATTGCCAGTTGGATTTTCACGAGACCCGGCAACTTTTACATTCATCAATTCAAATAAATAGTGCATTGGTGTAACCTGCTGTAGCTGCTTGTCATTTTTTTCCCATCAATTTTGGAATATTGTTTATGTAATTAAGAACTCAGGTTTAATATGTAGAATTTGAGGTACTAAAAATTTTGCGACAAAAATTTTAAATCTATGCAATTTGTAAGCCACTCCTACATTTTATTGTGAAATTTATATAAAATAATATCATCAAATCAAATACATACCAACAGTTCACCCACTGAAAGAGTATGCAACTCGATAATTATGGTTGGTCCAGCCCATCAAGGTCAATGGGCCCAAAGGGTTTAAGTGCTATAATCCGAATATGGCAAGTCGGTGAATGCAGTAAAATATCGGTTTTAGACATAATCTAAAAAAAAAAAAATGTAATCTGGTCGAGGATAAAAACAGTATAGGGCCATGTATTAATCATGTATTAAATAATTATGAAATTTTCAAAATTTAGGAAAAAATCTGTATTATTAGTTAAAAATTGCCAACAGGGATGATATGCATTATATATATTAATTATCAACCAGTTACATTAATATATTAAACATAAATTTAATGCAGTCCAGATTTTGTTAGTTAAATGGTCTACATTTTAGACTTGGGTAAACAACCCCATGTCAAATTCGATTGTTTTTTCCAATTCACACTATCCCAGTCAAACGTAAAAACTTCTGCCAGCAATCAGAAAATAACAATGATAATAATGAAACATCGGCAGTATCTGCCGCAACTAAGGGCACACCAACCTACAGAAATGGCAATTCTTCCACGAAATACCTTTTAAGAAAAGAAATGTCGTAAAGTAAACGATGATAAAAACGAATTGTTTAAAAATCGTAATGGGGATTATGGGTTTCATAGTGTACTGCAATAGGAGGGGAGAATTATTTATTTATAAGCAGAAGTAACTAATATATAGAAATTAGAAGAGGAGAAACAAGCTAAAAAGAAATAAAAAAGTAGGTTGGTATTTTTCTTGTAGGGGAAAAGTTGCTTGCTTTAAGGCAACAATGTCCCTTATCTCATGTGTGCCAATAATGCCTTCTTCTTTTTCTAATTAACAGGTCACGAACGTATAAACTTTTTGACGCAAAGGTGATGATGATTGACCGTGAAACAAACTCTTTTACGGGAGGGTTAAAAAGAAAGAGAGCAGCAATTGCGTGAAGTGTCGTGATAAAGTTAAGAATTAAGTGTATCTCGGAGAACCCCCCCACCACAAAATCACCCAAAATATCTTGGTAACAGTGACATAATAAAACTGCTACGAAAATGAAGAAATTCCTCCTTCCACATGAATCAATACTTTTTTCACAACTAAACCAACTGAAAGGCTCTCATTTCACTTTAACCTTCAACACATTCATGCTCTAGTTTTAATCTTCGTATTTAAATCTTTGATTTATTATATGACGAGGAAAATAGTTTTACGTAATTTGGTTGGCTTTTTCGATCCTTGAGGCAGCTTTTTGAAAGTGCGCTCCCAGATGAAGCATTGATTGTGCCCCCGTTAATTTGCTTTCAACATTATGATATTGCCATTACCTACCCCATGTCTTGCACGCCATCGCTTCTCCAGTAATAATATATTGTCTATCCGTCAAACAAGTTATATTCCAGACTTATCAGTGTTGAAATTCTTTTTCACAGATGAATCAAAGAGAGAGATTTTCATGGGATACAGTTCTTGTGTTTTTCACTCCTAAACAAGGTTAAGTATGATCAGTTATACACTTTTTTATGTTTAAAAAGTAATGAATATAATAATGTACGTTCTTATATATATAAAATTAACCTTTTTATAATTTTGTTATGATACGATTTAACATCCTTGAAAATTGATGTTTAATTTAAAAAAAAAAAAAAAATTCTGAAGATAAAAATAAATATTAAAACATAACAAGTTTTTTAAAATTATTTTTTTTGTCGTTTAACTAATATTATTTTTGTAAAAACAAAAATGCGTTTTAAAAATAATTTTGGTAAAAGATTTGGTGCGATGAGGGACAGCGTTTGCTGTAAGCTTCGGGACACGTGGCGTTATAGCAGCGGTTTATTGCATTGGAAAAAGAAAAGACGAGGTGATATCAAAGTAAAACCGCGTAAAAGAGAAACAGACCCCACCACTACAGAGACACACACGCTTCCTCTTTACGCTCGTCTCTTTCTGCCGCTGCACTACACCGTCAAATTATCTTCTCCTTTGAGATCAAAACACACCAAAAAAAAAAAATTTAATTGATTTTCTCAAATTTCATTTGTTAAGTCTAAAGAAATTCTGCTGACATAATTTATGAACACAATAGAGTTTGGGAAATAATTAGTCAGTTGGAATGAAAAAAAAAAAAAAAAAAAAAGCCCCCATCTTGTAATTCAACGTTGGGTCTGAATTTATTATGTAGTGAGTTGTCATCGGATTAGATAACATGTGCACGCGCAGTTCCATTCAAACTTATTTATTAATTGACTTGACCATCCACTTCCTTCATTAATTAATGCCCCGCAACTCACGACATGCTACATTAACATTGTGTCTTTGAATAATTTGCTCTTTCATTAATTTTTTCCACATAAATTTAAGGCACAAAATTCGTCAAAAATTCAAATTTCATATGATTCATACCCAAGAAAACATGTATACGTTAAAAACTGATATGTTTATCTATCATTGCTATACCATTAATAAAGCAAAACACCAGGTCAAGCGGGTTAGTTGTGTCTAACCCCCTCTTTCAAGACTTGCCGCCCGCCCGACATGCTCCGAGAACCCTTAGCTCCCTAAATTAAAATAATCTCCCCTACTCTACTTTGATTCTCTTTAACCCATTATTTAGCCAACTCATTAACCGCGAATACTAATCTTAATTCTCGCTTCACTTAATTTTCATTATAAAATTTTTTTTTTTAAAAAAAAAATCCATTAAATGGACCGTGAACTTTACAACACCACCGTTCTACTTCACGATAGTGCGGGTCAAAAAGAAAAGAAGCGCCTCAAAGACTGTGTCGGTAGCAACCGCCGCCGCAAACGAAGTGCTCGCAAAATTTTGCAGGTGGCATTTTATTATTCCCTTTCCCTCGTAACCCAACGTCAACCGGGGTTAGTTTCTAAAATTTTGTAGGAGAAAGCTACCAATTTCGGTTAATTTTAATTGCAATGGAAAGTTCATGTAGCATGATTACTGTTGCATTTTAGAATTTCATATAAAATTTACAGAATTAAAATATCGAAGAAATAAGTTTATATTGTATTAAAAAAATAGTTTGACATTTTATAGATCGTGGGGGAAGGTGAATACGTGTGAGTGTCTAACGTGCGCCTAGAGGGTTCGGTTCTTCTATCTGCCAACGACTCACTATTTTAATAAAATATATCCTTACATTAATTCCACGGCGGCGGGAGTTGAAGTCCCAGTTAATTTTAATACTGGCCAATGACTAAAAATAAAACAAACACCATCAGTCATTCCAGTCGTGGTCTGTCTTACGGTTCGCACTTCCTCCGCGGTGCGATTTTAGCTTCTTGATTTTTTATGTCTTTTGTTAAAATTGAAATATAGAATCAAGAGGCTCGTTTATATTTACACCAACTGTTTTATGGTACTAAAGAATTTTTATCTCCAATCCAAAAACACACTCGCATATATTTTAAATAAAGTTAAAAAAAAAAATAAAAAAATGATGCCCTATTTTGCGACTTAAAGTTGGGGCAATTTGTCCAACAAGAGCTCCAGCGAATAAAGAGGGGTTACAATGTGAACACGGAAATCACATGGTGTGGTCAACATTAAAGAAATTAACCCACGATAACTACAGGCACAACCGGCACGTGACGGTAACGGACCAATAGATGTCGGTATCTGAAGAACCAGCTGCACACGTGTCCGGACAATATTGGTTCGTTGAAACGGTCTTACGTCATAATCATCAGCTGGCTTGCAGGCCTAGTCGTTTCATAATTTAGCATTAAATAAACTATAATGAAATTACAGAGAGGTAACTTGGATTAGTGATGTAATCTGGGGCAGGCTGGTGGAATCTAGACCCTTATATAATAGGAGCCAAGCAACTTGAGATAAAGCAGTGAGGTTGAGGGTCATTCACACCAGAAAAAAGAGAGAAAACCAGAGAGAAAAAAAAAAAAAAATTAGAGTGGTGAGATCAAATTGAGTGAATTAGGACGTTCAGGTGTTTTCTTCTACTTTCCCTCCCCCCCCCTTCTCTGTAACATCCCGCTTCTCTGAATCCCTTTCTGTTAATCATCTGTCTTTCAAAAAGAAATCTTGATTTTAGGTTTGTGTTCTCAACGCAAAAAATATGGATAGAAAGCAAACTTAGAAGGGTTTTTCTAAGAAAGCCAGGTGTTTTCAGAATCGAGATCCAGGTTCTTGTTTTATTGATTTTTCAAGGCTTTTTATTTTTTTTTTCTGTCCTTGTTAGATCTGATTTTTCTTTTTTATTTTATTTTTTGTAATTTTCGTGTAGAGAAAATCAGCTTGGAGGGTGATTTTTGGTTCCCTCATAGTTGGTTTTGTAGGTTCTTTGATTTGAAGGGGTTGCTTATTTGAAACCTCTTTGATCTTTTTCTGTTGTAGAAAGAAGCAGCTCTTTTTATTAAAAAAATTTCATTTGGTGCCTGTCTCTTTTTAATCTTGACAAGAAGCAGGTTAATTTCATAATTTTTCTCTGTCGTCTCAAGTCAAAAATTTTCTTCAGTCTCTAAGATATGGCAGCTACCATGGATTTTTGCAGTAGCAGACCAGTTCAAGCAGGTCCCTTCGGGGACGAGCTTATGGAAGCACTTGAGCCTTTTATTAAAAGTGCTTTATCTTCTTCTCCTTCTCCTCCTCTCTCCTCATCTTACCAGATTCCATCTTGTACTTCCTCCTCTAGTTATTCTTCTGCCAATGACATCTCTTTCTGCCCTTCATTTTCTACCAACACAACACAACCCAGTCTATACTCGGGTGATTGCTGTACCACCTCTATGCCTCAACCTATTTCAAACGCGCACTCGGTTCATGATCCGTCGGCTCTCCAGCAATCGGGGTCGATCGGGCTGAATCACCTCACTCGGTCTCAGATGAACCAGATCCAGTCGCAATTTCACCTCCAGAGTCAACAAAGCCCGTCTTTACTGTACCAATATTATCCTCAACAGCAGCATGCCTTTCAGTTCCTCAGCCCAAAGCCTGTTCCAATGAAGCAAGTTGGTTCCCCCCCAAAGCCCACCAAGCTCTACAGGGGTGTGAGGCAGCGGCATTGGGGCAAGTGGGTCGCCGAGATCCGCCTGCCGAAGAACCGGACCCGGCTTTGGCTCGGCACCTTCGATACGGCCGAGGAAGCAGCCTTAGCTTACGACAAGGCAGCTTACAAGCTCCGAGGTGACTTCGCTCGGCTCAACTTCCCCAATCTCCGCCACCGGGGATCCCACATCGACGGCGAGTTCGGCCAGTACAAGCCCCTTCATTCCTCAGTGGACGCAAAGCTTGATGCTATCTGTGAAAGTTTAGCAGAGTCGCAGAAGCAGGGGAAAGTGGGGAAGCAACATGTTGGCTCCGGCAAGAAGCGAGCCAGGCCTCCTCGTATGGAGCCAGAGGTTGAGCCACCGCAGGCTATACAAGGTTCAGATTCGAGAACGTTAGAGACGGTTAAGGGCGAGAAGAATTCCTCCCCGTCGCCGGTGATGACCGAGAGCGATGGGTCTGCAGGATCTTCACCTTTATCCGAGATCACGTTCGGTGAAATGGACAACGAGCCGCAGTGGAGTATTGTGCCGGAGAACTTCATGTTGCAGAAGTACCCTTCATACGAGATCGATTGGGCCTCCATATTGTCATGAATATTTGTAGTTTCTGTGGTTTTAGTTTATGATGTATGTCAATGTAGTAGTGGGAGATTAGGAGTGGGTAACGGTCCGCTGCAATGAAGTTTTTGGCAATTGCAGGGTCCAATGTGAAGTGAGTCGTTTAGGGTAATAAGCAGTACTGTTAATATTATTATGTAATAATGTCCACCGCTGTCAGCTGGTTTTTTGTCTTTGCTAGACCGGTGAGATGAATTCTTGTAATAGCATGTGTACAAGTTTAGAGTTTGTAATTGAATTTGTTTGAAAAGTTTGTCTCTGTTTAGCATTCAATTTTCTTATTAACAGTTTGATGATTTTTTTTTTTCCTCGAAAGAACAAAAAAAAGAAAATTTTGTTGAAAAGTATAAATTCAGAGGAAGAAACAGTTGTTGATAAATGGAAGTCTAGTTTCTGGGATAATTTTTCTCGTTGGTATTTTTGTGGTGTAGAACTTGAAATTTTGGAGAAATTTAAGAGTAAAAGAGATTACTTTTTAGTTGGAAGCTTAAAGATTTATCTGGAGAAAAATCAAAAGGAGTGTATGATGATGTTCATCAAAGGCTATTTTATTTTATTATTCCTCGAGATAATAAGCAGTGATGCAATGATGGCGGTGTTGATTGGTTTGTTGTTGAAATTTCTTTGATGTTGAAAATTAGGTTGAGGTCAGGAAAACGTGCAGGTCTCGGTTACTTTTAAACCCTGTTTCTGCGGCTAGAAGGAGAATCAGTCCAAGAATTATTGGGAAAATGTAAGATCACGTTTAGAATTAATTTAGCATTTTTAATTAATGATAACAGTCTATTATTAAAGGACAAAAATTTATATTAAGACTCAAATAATTTTACATTTGAATAAAGAATATTAAAAACTGACGGCACAGGAAAATAGATATGAGATAAAACTTGTATTGGGGAATCAGAAAGCACCCAATTTTGCTTGGAATATGATTATTAAAAAAAAAAAAAAAAAAATTAGAAATGAGAAGAAGTTCAATGAATGTGGAGATAGATTTTGAAAAAAAAAAAAAAAAGGGTGTATCGTAGAGACTTATCTTAAAAGCAATTGTTGATTTTAATGATAATTTCCACAAGGCACGCGTGACTTTCTCTACCAACTGAGATATCATCGATAGGAGAAATTTTGAGAACTTCTAGTCCCACATTTTATTTAATTATTACTAATAAGTCGTAAAAATTATGTATACATATGCTTGTTTTATTGCGCAAAAGCTCCTCGATCTCGTTAAATTTTTATGAAAGTCACATGCCTTGAAGACAAAGTATTTACAAGTTGCATGTGCTCAGTCATTCTCTGCTCCAAGCACAAAGCAATTACGCTCAAACATAAAAAAACATATATACACTTCTTTTTAAACAAAAGTGGCACCAACAAAGGAGCTTCTTCAACATACTACCACATATTCAAGTTAACAAGAGCTTGTTGCGGAACAGCACTGAGTCATCCTGTTAGCAATCCAGACAACAAAAACACAGTACAAATAGCAATTCAATATCATAATTTATGTAAAGAGGAAAAAATTGAGGGGACTAATAGTTCCATGTGAGCTCCTTTTAATCGCCAAACTTATGATACTCAGTACAAAAAAAAAAA